AAAAAAAAAGACCTGAAAAACAGTATCAAATACCTTGACCTAATTGACATTTTTAGAATACTATACTCCTACAACTGCAGAATACTCATCCTTTTCAAGTGTGTACCGTGTATTCAGACCATCTGCTGTGACCATAAAACAAGTCTTTAAATTTAGAAAGATTAAAACATACTGAAATATGGTTCTCTGAACACATTAGAAATAAGTTACAAATAATGTCTTAAAAACATTTGGGAATTAAGCAAAACATGCACACATAATTCATAAGCCAAAAGAGAAAAAAATATTTTGAACAAAACAAGATGAAAATACAACATTCCAAGAAAATTTTAGGGTGTAAGTAGAACTGGACTAACAGGGAAACTTATAGCTTTAAAATATTAACATTAGCAGGCGGGGTATAGTGGCTCATACCTGAAATCCCAGCTTCAGGGGAAGTAGAGATGTAGAGGAACACTATCTAAGGCCAGCCTGAACCAAAAGCAGAAGACTGTCTAAAAAATAACTAAAAACAAAAAGGACTGGGGGTGTGGCTCAAGTGTTAAGAGCACATACCTAGCAAGCACAAGGCCCTGAGCTCAAACCTCAGTACCACCGAAATAAAATAAAACATTAACATTAGTGAAGAAGGGTCAAAACCAGTGATCTACATTCACCATAAACAGCTAGGAAAAGAAAGCAACCAAAAGAAGACTAGGACTAGCAGAGTGGCTCAGGTGGTAGAGCACCTGCCTAGCAAGAGTGAGGCCCTGAGTTCAAACTCCAGTGCCACAAAAAAAAAAGAATGAAAACCCCAAGTAGAATTTATTATAGAAATGCAATATTTTTGAATGAAAAAGTTTTTTAAAGTTTATGCTTAATAGGAAAAAATGATGAAATCTGACATTAACACTAAAGACTATATGCTTATTGCAATAGATATAGAAAAAGCATTTGACAAACTCAGCATTCATTCTTGTTAAAAAAAAAAAAACTAGAAAAAAAAATAAAAGGGAACTTTCTCACCCTGATAAAGGGTATCTATGACAAACCCACAGCTAACAGCATATGTTATAGTGATAAACTGAAGGACTCCCATAAAATCTTGAATAAGACAAGGTATCTGCTTTCCCCTCTTCAATGACACAATGTCCAAATACTTACTGCAAATAAGTAAGGAAGAAAGTAAGATAGACAGATAGACAAGATAGGGATAGAGAAGGAAAGTGCAAAACCAAGTTAGATGACAGGACTATTTACATAGCAACTCCTAAAGGAATCAACAACAAAACAGGCACTACAACTACTGGATAAATTTAGCAAGGTTCCAGTGTAGAAGTTAATTTGCAAAACTCATTAGCATTTTATACACTTCAGCAGACTTGAAAAATTTGAAATTCCATCATCAATGGCATCAAAAGAATATCTAAGAGATGTGCGAGACCTCTGTATTACATACAACTGGCTGGGAACACCTAACTGTATGCAGAGATAAACCTCATTCATGTGGTATCAAGACAGGAATTGTCCTCAAATAAATTCACTACAATCCTAGTCCAGATTACACAGGCTTTTTCTGCTGAAATTAAACAGATTCTATGATTTTTTTAACGGAAACAAAGATTTTATAACACCTAAAGGAATCTTGAAAAGGAAGGGCAGAGTTGGAAGACTTACACTTCCCGATGTCAGGGCCTACTTACAAGACTACCATTGATGTGCATATTGTGCTATTAGCCTAATGAGTGCAGAAACAGATAATGAACAAAATGCAGATTCCTGAAATAAATTCATTCCTATTCTTCTTAACAAATGGCACTGGAATAACTGGATATCCACATGGGCAAAATGAACTCTGATCTCACACCAAATTTTCAAATGGATCATAGACCCAACTATAAAAAGCTGGAAGGGGACAGAGAACCCATGCAGCCTTGAGGAGGTAATGATTTCTTAACATAAAACAGGCACCAAACATAAAAGACCAATACGTTAGGCTTGATCAAAATTAAAAACTTGTGTCAGATAACAGATTTAAGAAAATACACAGGCAAGCCAGAGGTAGAAAATACTTGCAAGATATGTATCTGAGAACTAGTGTTCTTGATATGTAAAGAATTCCAGTAGCTTAATAACATTGTTTTAAGTTGGCAAAATACTTCAACAGAAAATTTACGAAGAAATATATAAAAATGGCCAACCAACACATTAGACATCAGGAAAAATGTAAATTAAAACCACAATGAGATAGCCACCAGGCATCTCACCAGTATACAGTATAGTTAAAATTAAAATGACTTGTCACCAAGTGTTTACAAAGGATACGAAGCATCTGTTGGTTAGTACACCTACTTTGAAAAAAATGCCAGGCAATTTCTTACAAAACTAAGTACCTACCCTAGGATCCAGCAATTCCTCTACTAGGTATTTACCTAAGAGATAAAATACACATAAATACAAACAGTTGCACAAGAATATTCCCAAGTTTAATTTATGATAACCAAAATTTTCTAGCATTCCTAGTGTCTATCAGTAGAAGTGTGAATAAAGCTATGTTCTATCCCAACAAAAATTAGCAATAAAAAATTACTAAGACGGATAGCATTGGATAAGCCTCAAACATAATGTGTTACACAAAAGGCACGTTGTATGATTTTCCTGTGATTCCAGAGATCCAGAGCAGGCAATACTATGTTCTATAAAAGCACAGATTCATGATTAAACATTTAGAACAGCATTTAACTCTGCAAGAATGTGGCTGGGGATTTACTGGGAACTCTGACCTGTTGGTGACACTTAGTTGATAAGCTGGGTAGGCAGCGTTTGGCTCCCAAAGGTATAAACATTTGTCCATATTCATCTCATGTTACACTTAAGATTTGTGAATTTCGTGCTATAGCAGGAAAAAAAGCTATAAATATTCAACTCTAATGGCAGACGTACAAGGAGGGGGTGAAGGTATATTGATGTCTACAACTTTCATTTAGTGCAACCTAACTAAATGGGTTGATGGGTGGAAAGAGGAGTGGATATATAATTTATAATATTTTTATATTTATTATAAATTAATATAACGTTACTTTTAGAAATTATGAATATCAATTATATTAATTGTAGAATCTAAGTGGTGGTTATGTGCGTGTCATTGTAAAATTCATTCATCTTTTTGGTATGTTTAAATTTTTTCATAATAAAATGCAGTACTCACTCACTTTGGGTGCGTATACAGGCCTTTTATAACCACCAGCCTCCACCCCACAAAGCTCATGCCCCAGTAGGCTGGATAGAGCAGGGCTGTGTTTGTTTATTCGAAATCATTTGGTTTTACTAAACAGGGCCGCGCAGCCCTTCCAGCTTTCCCTGGCGGATACCTTGGGTGGGTGTGTCTCCTGGGACCACTCTCGGAAGGCAGGGAATGCTTCTGCAATCATTCACAGTAGCCCACGTATCCATTCCTTCACGCATCCATATTAGCTCCCACGTGCCCCTGGCGGGTGATTCTGGAGCGGCGGCCTCTAGCTGGGTACATTGGTGGGGGCGAGATGTGTCTGAAGGGAATCGAGCGCCCTCTCACGGCCTGTTCAGGCCCGCTAAGCACCCGACCCCCGATCCCTCCTCTTTAGCACCCGGGATCTGCGCACCGGGGTGGAAGCACCCCATCCCCAGGTTGACTAGCAGAGCGCTGGCGTCTGCGGGCGGAAACCAGCGAAGGAGGCGGGCGACGGGGTGGAGTCGCTGCGGCTGGCAGCAGTGCAGCTCCACCTGTTGCCGCGTCGGAGCGCGCGGGCCGGGGAGCGCAGAGCCGGGCGCGGACCTCTGCTCCCCGCCCCACTCGGCAGGGCAAGGCAGAGCCACGCAAGGAGGAAGCCGGGGACGGGCTTCACAGAGCAGCACGGAACGGGTGCCCCCAGGAGGTGAGACCTGAGCGCAACCGCGGCACCCGCGCTCCTCGCAAGGTGAGGTCTCTAGGAAGAAGCCCCGGGGTTTACTCTGCAGGGAATGGGGGCACTCAGCACGGAACCTCTGTCCACGCGAAGCCAGGTTGGAAGACATTTAACTCTCCTGGCAAATGCCCTTGGCTTCCTCTCCGGAAGCTGGACTGGCAGCGCCAACACGTGTGGACGAAGGACGCTCCGGTGCAGGGCCCAGAAACCAAGGGCGCTCTGGCCGAGGCAAGGCGGGGGAGGCTGCCCGGGGAGATGCCCCCTAAGGTCCTTCACTCCCATGTTCTAACCTCCCTTTCTGCTCTCCTCTCTCTAGCTGGTCGGCCCGCCGGCTGCGCGCAATGTGGGGGCCGGGTGGGAGGTCCGAATCCACAGCCGCCGCCCCGCACAAGTCCTTCTGTCCGTGCGACTATCCCGGACCGGTCCCAGCCTCTAAACCCCGGCAGCCGGGTCGGTGATTCCGGAGACTGGACGCGACACTGCCACGAGGACGCGCCACAGCGTAACCATCTGGGGAGGCATCTCCAAAACCCGCGGACAGCCGCACATCCTAGCCATCTGCGGCTGGGAAAGCGATGATCAAAGGAACCAGGACCCCGAGGTCCCGCTTACCTACCGATCTTTCCCGACTGCGCTTCAGAGGAAGTTCAAATCCGCTGGAGTTTGCCTTGAAGACGTGCCACGCCTCCTCCCCAATGTGAGCTGGGGTGGAAACCAACCCAGCGCCTGCATCCACGTGCCAAGCAGAAGCGGACTGTGCACTCAGACGCTCGGATCTTTCAACGTTAAGAAGTCCAAGGCGGGGGGAGGGAAGGACGGGGTGTGTGGGGGGAGAACAGCGGCGACAAAGCGGATTCGAAACCAGGAGTCAAGGCGGACGTGGGCAACTGGCGCCGCAGGAGCGGCCCAGGCATCTGCGCGGCCTGGGGCAGCGCCTGGCGGTCATGGGCGAGCCGGCCGTGGGGCATCCAGGGGCAGGTTGAGCACCAGCTGAGCCGCGACTTCTCTGGCACGTGGGCAACAGTCCGCGGGTGCCCATAGCTGTGTGGCTCCGGGGCTGCCCCCGGAGAACAGGCCATGGCCGGCCGGGGATGCAGCTGTGGCCCCGGGCACCTGAACGAGGACAACGCGCGCTTCCTGCTGCTGGCGGTGCTCATCGTGCTCTACCTCCTGGGCGGCGCCGCGGTCTTCTCGGCGCTGGAGCTGGCGCACGAGCGCCAGGCCAAGCAGCGCTGGGAGGAGCGCCTGGCCAACTTCAGCCGCGGCCACAACCTGAGCCGCGAAGAGTTGCGAGGCTTCCTCCGCCACTATGAGGAAGCCACCAGGGCCGGGATCCGGGTGGATAATGTCCGGCCGCGCTGGGACTTCACCGGCGCCTTCTACTTCGTGGGTACCGTCGTGTCCACCATAGGTAAGCGAATTGGCGGGTCTCCTTGGGGTTGGGGAGGGTCCACTTCCCCCACCGGGCCAGGATCGGGCATCTCTCAGACTTTCCTTCATCCACCTGGGTACCTCGTACCTCGCTCGCTCCACCAGATGAGCCATCTGTTGCCTGATCCAACAGGTGCTAGCGCCTCCTTGCAGCTGTCAACGTGGTCCACTTGATCACCTTGGAGCTTATTACAAATGCAGGTTCAATCCTCTCCCTAGGCCTCCCTGAGTCAGTCCCAGGGGATTTGAGTAACCCGTTAACTGGAAGTGTGCGGTAGGAGCGTTTCAATCTAGTTAAGGAGGCAGGGCTGAGGTCAGGGACTTCGTGGTGAAAGCTTACAAGTAGGGGTAGGAAGCTGTTACTGCTATGACTATTTACTGGGTAAGGGCTGTGCCCAAGTCACTGGCCAAAGAGAAAACTGAAATTAAGTAAGACACTGTCTATGACTTCAAACTTACAGAGAGAAACTCAGAATTCTAGACTGGAAGTAAGGAAGGAAAAGTGTGAATGAGGGTTCAAGGATGGAAAGTGTTTTTTATTGGGAAGGAAACCACCAAGAAATGACTTTTGGGTGGAACAGTTAGAATTTGGTATGATTGGGGTTGGGGGCGGGGCGGCCTAAAAGTGCACCCACTGCATTCTGGGATAGAGGAGAATTGTCATTCAGAGGCCCTATGAGCTGACCGATCACGGAACGGTGGGAAGGAAGGCTTGGAAAGTGTGCTGGCCAAGGGGAGATGAGGGAGCCCTTTACTGCCAGGCTAAGGGGCTTGGAACAGCCACAGGCAAATGGGAGCCATTGAGAATTTTGAACAAGGGTGTGACATGGCTACTACCAGTTATGACTTTATTTCTCCAGCAGAAAGAGAAAACCTAATCTGAAATCGAAGTTTTAGACCCCGGGCCCAAACTCCTGGGCTCTCACATGTCAGCTTTCGCCACTTGCCCTGTGCACCAAATAAAGAGACAGGATGAAGGCAGAAAAAGGACATTTATTATACCATCCATGACATGCCATGGGAAGAGGCAGAGTAAGCACTCAGCCCATCCTCAGCCATCTTCAGTGTACACGTGTGAGCTTTAGTGTTAAGTAGACAATTAGAGCAGGGGGCAAAAGTTATGTATAAACAGTCCCAGTCACAGGTGTGGCCTGGTTGGACATTATCTCGGTTCTGGTTCTTGGGGGTTCTGGAGAAGTTGTTATCGCTGTCATCACTTGCGGGGACCCATCTGGTTTCCAAGAAATGATTGCTCCTGCTCCAAGGCACAGGCTAATCATCATAGGTAATTGTCCTTACTTAGGGAGTTCTGCAAGGCTCTGCTGTTCCTTAGGGGTAGTTTCAGTCCCTTGTCATAAAGATGTTATCTGTCATTCCTATCCTTCCTTGATTCCAAGGTGGCTGAAGGAAAGAATGGCTCAGAGAACAGGGCAACACGTACAAAATGGAGGCAGGGATGCCAGGCTTTTCTGCTGCTTTTAGTTAATCTGTGGGCCTAAGTAAGAAGCCAGTGATTTTCAGCAAAAGCAGTTTAAGCACCCCTTACAAATTGGTAATAAGAGCATTGGGAAAATGCCATAAAAATTCTGAGGGAAAAAAAAGGGCTGGAGTGGGGGAGGGGCTTTAAAAGGCTAGATGGAGAGGGAAAAAGTGGTCTGCAAGGTGTCAGAACACAGGAGCAGCAAAGGGCTGCAGTGGCAGCAGTACCAGGTGTGTGTGCTGGTGCTCCACAGCTAGGGACCCATGTTCTGTAGAAGGGCTTGTCAGTGAGACGGGTGACAAGGTGAACCTCTTTGAGGCTCCCACACATGGCTGTGTTATGGAGACTTTCTGCAGGGAAAGGAATGTCAACCAGTGAATGATCAGCTTAGACCTGATTAGTCAAGAAAGACTTCCCAAGGTTAGTCCAGGAACCCAGGGCTTCAGCTGGGAGTGGGAGGCTAGGCAGAGGACCAGCATGATTGGGGACACATCTGCTATACTGAAGTGCTTTGTGCTCAGTGGCTGACTCACAACCCCCATCTCATCCTCATGGCCCTGCCCAACAGCAGGTGGTGATGGCGCCACAGTAGCTGGGTATCTCCCACAAAAAAACTCAAGAGCATTACCATGACTAGAACCACCCTTCAGGGGTGGAAGAAGAGAACTATCACTCCCCTCTCCCAGCCCTCATTCTCTGCTGGAGTCTGTTAGTAGTGGTCCACGGGTCCCTCATCATGTCACCTCCCATGTCTCAGAAGATGGTTCCAGAGTTCCCGCACAGGGGAGTCTGGAGGTGAACAGGCTAAGTAAGATGGGTCACTTTGGAGCTTAACCTTGAATCTGCTGTTTGCATAGCAAATTCTTTAGATTGAATGGTATGGTTTTGATGATACTAGACGGCTGAATCCTCCCCACCATTGTAAACCACCCCTTGGTTGCTCCCTGTGAACAGGGGAGCAAGAAGGAGCAGAGTCTGTGCGTGGGTAGTGAACATGGATACAGAACAAAGGGGCAACACCATGGGCAGGTAGGCATAGAGAAACCCAGGCTTTTGTGATGCAGATAGGGTAACATAGCAGGTAGAGTGGACAGAAAGCTGGGTGCAATCTGAAGTTAGGGCATTTGGTCTTGCATCTGTGACTTGGACAGGTTTCTTAGCCCTTCTGACTCTCGTCCTTGGTGTCTACAAGGATGTCAGGATGGAATCTGGCATGCTGTAGGTACTGAGTAAGTATTAACCCTGCCTCCTTCCCACTACCTCCCTGCCAAGCCTGTCTCCTAGGGCTCTGGAGAGGGACAAAGAGCTCATGAAAGGGAAGGCATGTTGAAAAGCACACCACACTGTGTGTGCAGGCTTATTTCTACTTTCTCACTTTTAACATTTCCTTTTAAATTAGTTCATCCGTTGCTATTATGATAATAGCACTTGCTGTCTTTTATTAGGGACTTGAATAGATATTTGTACACACATTGATTACAGCATTATTTACACTAGCCAAGAGGTGGAAGCAAGCAAAGTGTCCAGATGCACGGATAAACAAAACATGGTATACACAACAAGGGGACATGTCTCACCCACAAAAAGGGTGAAATTTTGATATATGCTACAGTGTGGATGAACCTGGAGAACAATTTTAGTGAAATAAGCCAGACATACAAGGGAAGATATTGTATAGTTCCACTTACATGAGGTACCTAGAATAGGCAGATTCCTAGAGGCCAAGGGGAAAAGAAGTAGCTAAGGGCTGAGAGAAGGCAAGAGACAACATTACTGTTCGTTTTGTTTTGTTTTGTTTTGTTTTGTTTTGTTTTACAGTACTGGGGCTTGAACTCAGAGTCTACATCTTGAGCTACTCCATCAGCCCTTTTTTTTGTGATGGGTTTTTTTCAAGATAGGGTCTTGCAAACTGTTTGCCAGGACTGGCTTCAAACCGCAATCCTCCTGATCTATGTGTCCTGAGTAGCTAAGATTACAGGTGTGAGCCACCAGCATCCAGCAGTATTACTGTTTAATGGGTAGAGTTTCAGTTCAGGATGCTGAAAAATTTTTATGTAGAGATCATAGTGATGCTTATACAACTTTATAAATATATTTAATGTTTTTAACTGTCCATGTATGAATGGTTAAAATGATTAATATGTTTTGCCAAATTTTTATTTTATTTTTATTATATTATTGTGCTGGGGGTACAGTGTGACATTTGCAAAAGTGCTTATAATATATATTAGTTAAAGTCATCCCCTCCATCATTCTCCTTTATCCCTCCTACCCTCATTTTATCACAGATTTTTTTATTGCTGCACTGAGTGGGGGTATACTGTGGCATTTACAAAAGTTCTTAACAATATATCAAATATATCATAGTTGAATTCACCCCCTCCACCATTCTCCTTTGTCCCCCTCCTCCCATCCCTGGAGTAGTTTCAGCAGGTCTCATTTTCCCATTTATATACAAGTATACACAGTATTTGTATCATATTCACCCTCTACCATTTCTCCACCTCCACCCCCCCTCCCACTGCCACCAAACCCACCCCACCCCACCCTCTGCAGGCAGGACCTGTTCCAACCTCCTGATCTCTGATTTTGCAGAAGAAAAAAAAAAAAAGAATAAAATGACATTGTTGCTTAAGATAGTTTCTTATGGAATTTCCATGTACATATGTCCTATAGCCAGATTTGGTTATCTCCTCTATTTTCCTTCTTTCTACCTTACTGCCTCTCTTGTGGTGACTTCAACAGGTTTATGAATTCTATATTCATTCTTGTGTAGAAAGTACATCAACCATATTCACTTCCTTAACTTCCTTCTTTTACCCTCTCCCTCTTGTATGTGACCTCCCCTTAGCATGTCCTATTTTTCATAGGATTGCTATATTTGCATTAGGTCTATATGGCACATCTGAGAGAAGACATTGGCCTTTGGCCCTCCGAATCTGACTAGCTTCACTTAAGATGATGTTCTCCAGTTCCATCCATTTACCTGCAAACAACAAAGTTTCATACTTGTTTGTGGCTGAATACAATTCCATTGTATCACAATTTTTAAAAGTCAGAGTAGACTATTAAAACACAACTCAGGGATGTTGATGGTGAAAAGGGTGAGTGATCAGACTTGAAGCAAGAATCAACTCAAAGTGCTCAGAGAAGCAGTTTGGCATCGTACCCTATAAACAGACTTCTGTGAATAGCTTTTCTCTCAAAGAGGCTTTTGTTAGAAGTTTATTTCAGCCTGTGTATTTATAACTGAGCATCTGTCCAAAAAGGATTAGAGGTACTTTGCCTATGGTAGAGTCAGTAGGCTTAGGTTAGGGTGTAGTAACAAGTCACACCAAGTACCTCCAAGATTGGCAGGGAAGAAAGGGCTGAAAAGTTGAGCACCAGCAGTTAAATGACCACCATCTGGAAGTGATGCAAGTCACCTCCACTCACATTTCTTTGGCCAGATGAAGTCACCTAACCACATCCAACTTCAAGGGCTCTAGGAAACACTCTTC